GGCAAATGCCATATGGTTTTACTTATATGTAAAATCTAAAAAACAAAATAAACAAACAAACAAAACAAACAAATTCATAGACACAGAGAACATTTTGACGGTTGCCAGAGGAAGACTACTAAAGAGTAGCTCTGAGATTATGGCCGAAAATTCTGTTACCACCTTGGTACCTAATTCATCTGGACTCATTTAAACAAGTTGGTGTTAGTTTACTAATCTCTCATCTATCGGGGGATGAAAAATTCCCACTTTTCATATATTTTTTTTCTCTATATTCGGTTTAAAAACACATCTAGAAAAGAGAAGAAAAAAATAACAGATGAATGATTCTGCTACTTTTCTAATATGCTTTCTGTTATCACCTCTACGCAGTATACTTATTATTTCCTTGTTTTTGACTAAAAATAAAACATGCCTTACAGTTCTTTCACCAATGTCACTATTTTTTTTTTAATCTTCAATTTATTGGGAGCCCTAATTTTATGACACTTTTATAATAGATTTGCTACATTTCTACATTTGACTTTGGTTACTCTCCCTTCTTTATATCTTTTATACATATATTCAAAATTTAAATTACTAGATAGCCATTCAACTTTCCCGAGCTGTCTCCCATTTTATTTGAATGATTTCTCAATTATTCAACTAGAAGTTTTGTTGTTGTTTTTTTAATCTCCCTTTCCTTTATTAGCCATAATCCCTTTTTGAGTCTCAGGTGCATGGGTCAAGAACTTTTGTTCTTTCCTTTTTTTTTATCCTCACCCAACCTGAGGACATTTTTGCATTTATCCTCAGATAGAGCAGGAGGGAGAGATGGGGGAAGAGAGAGAGAGAAACATCGATGTGAGAGAGACACAGCAACTGGTTGCCACCCACATGACCCCAACCAGGCGGGAGACAAACTACAACCGAGGTATGTGTCCTTAGCAGGAATTGAACCTGGGTCTTGCTGATCCACAGACAGATCCTCTAACTGCTGAGCCAAACAAGCCAGGGCAAGAACTTTTTTTTTAACTTATTATAAAAGTTTCTTAAAGTCCAGAGTATTTATCTGACTGTACAGCCCAGGGTTTGCTCCTCCAGCCATCATAAATGATTAGCTTGGAGTCCTCAACCATTTTTTACATCATAGCTCATCACTGATGATAGTTTCTAATGTGACACACCCTTGTGTGTACCCCAAGTTTTACAAACCTCAAGAGTATTTTTTCTGAAAGCATTGTAAAGCATTGTCATCATATTTAATTGCCACCTACATTGGCTATATCTCAGTTATGATTGCTCTTCACAATGATATGGTGACATTGATAAACAAGCTGCTGATTATGTAGAATTCCAGGCTGCTTCTTGTAAGAACATAAGAGCAATGCTATATTTCATCAGGATAACTTTGACTCCACTCAAATATATGTATTTTAAGAAAGTAGATGATTTACAGTTTTGCTTCTTTCACAATTATGAACAAATTGTCTGCAACTCATCGCATGTGCCAAGACCAAGTTGAAGATGACAAAGGTGATTTCATCCCACCAACTAGCTTTTCCTAATTGGTCAAAATGAAGTCAAGCCTAATTTGATTTTAATTATGAGGGCAGTCAGTTGTTTATCTCCTCAGGATGGTCTAAGTCATCTTTCTTGATAAACAACCTGCCGTTGTAGAATTTAGGTGCCATTTGGCTCAGTAGTCTATAACATTCTCCCACAGTCATATATATTATTTCCAATGTAGTAATATTTTGGCAGTCTCTTTATATGAGCCTTGTAAATATGGCAGTGAGATTTCATGATGCCTTTAGAGTAAAGAAATGCAAGTGTTTGCAAACTTTAATGTAAAATAAGTTGAGCATAACTTGAAGCTAAATAAAACATTGTCTGCAAAAGGTATTCTATCAATGAATGCAAATTATAAACTGTTCAATCATTAGACAACACACTCAGTGATGAAAGCACCAAGGACAAACAGGCTGAAAAGGGAAGGGAAGGGAAGGGGAGGGGAGGGGAGGGGAGGGGAGGGGAGGGGAGGGGAGGGGAGGGGAGGGGAGGGGAGGGGAGGGGAGGGGAGGGGAGGGGAGGGACTTGCACAAAAAGGGAAATTTGGGATTTCCAAGCAGGCCATCCATCCATGTGGGTCTTCTTCTAATATGCAGATAAGGCTAAACTAAAATTCTTTTTTTCTTTTTAATGTAGAGCCATTTGAAATGAACAATTGTTTTCATTCTCCAGCTGCTTGTATTATAACTTACACAGTGTGTTACATCTGGCCCTGGCCAAGCGGCTCAGTTAGCTGGAGTGTCATCCTGTACACCAAAAGGTCGTCAGGTTGATTCCTGATCAGGGTACATACCCAAGTTGCAGGTTCAATGCCTGATCAGGGTGCATACGAGAGGCAGCCAATCGATGTTTCTCTCCAACATCGATGTTTCTCTGTCTCTCTTCCTCTTTCTTCCTCTCTCTCTAAAATCAATAAAAAACATTTTTTAAAAAGCAAATCTCTTTCTTATACAAAATATAGTGTTTTCTTAGAACTTGCTCCTCATAATATGTAAGGACTCCTGACACACCTTCATAAATCTGTTCTATATTCCAAAAGTTTCAATGTAAAGGGTATATAATTTTTAGTAAAGGTGGTGAATACTTTTTTTTAAAAAAAACTATATTTTATTTTATTTTTTAACCATTTATTTATTATTATTATTTTAAATTTTATTTTTGTTACAGATGTTTCCCCTTTTTTACCCCATTGACACCCTCCTCCCCATCCCCCTTGCCTCATTCCCAGCTTTGTTGTCCATGTCCATTGGTCTTGCACACATGCATATAAGTTCTGTGGTTTATCTCTTCCCTCCCCCCACCCCCCTTCTTCTGGGGATTGTCAGTCTGTACCCTACTTCCATGTTTCTGGGTCTACCCTATTCCTCAGACTGTTATGTGGATTATATTCCATAAATAAGTGAGATCATGTGGTATTTGTCTTTTTCTGCTTGGCTTCTTTCACTTAGGATAATACTTTCCAGGTCCCTCCATGTTGTCTCTAAGGATACAAGATCTTTCTTTCTTACAGCTGCATAGTACTCCATTGTGTATATGTACCACTGCTTTTTTATCCATTCGTCTACTGATGGACACTTGAGCTGTTTCCAGATCTTAGCTATTGTAAATAGTGCTGCTACAAACATGGGGGTACATATATTCTTTCTGATTGGTGTTTCAGGCTTCTTAGGGTATATCCCCAGCAGTGGGATCACTGGGTCAAATGGAAGTTCAATTTTTAATTTTTTGAGGTAACACCATAGTGTTTTCCATAGTGGCTGCACCAGTCTGCATTCCCACCAGCAGTGTACTAGAGTCCCCTTTTCTCCACACCCTCGCCAACACTTGTTGTTTGATGATTTGTTGATGGCGGCCATTCTGACAGGTGTGAGGTGATACCTCATTGTTGTTTTAATTTGCATCTCTCTGATGATTAATATATTTTATTTTTAAAGCTCCTTTTCTTTCTAGTCATGTGACCCACTCCAACTCAATTTCTCTGATGTTTTTAACCTAGAAAGTTTGACCAAATGAATCCACTGAAGCAGCTCTTTCAAAATTCTAATGCATCTTTTATTAGATCTAAAAATGATTTTCTTAGTTTTTTCCTTTATCCAGGAAGTTAAATATAACATGGCAATTTATAAACAGCTTAGATGTGAACCTTTGACTACCTGAATGTCTTCTGACAAAGCAGAAGGAGGAAAAGAAGGAAGGTATGGAGAGAGAAAAAGAGAGGGAGAAAAGAAAGAAGAGTCAATATCAAAATATTTAAGACATTATTTAAAATGAGCACTTAACAAGGACCCACACAGTCTGTTAGCAAATGTATTAGAAAGCAACACTTACTGTTTTTGAAATGGCCTTACTATTTATCATGTCCTCTTTTTAAACTGACCTTTGCTAATGCCCATATTTCTAAGGACCAAGAGAAATATTTTTACTTGCAGTATGGATACAACTATACAATACAGTGATGTATAATGGTACCAAGAGCTGGAGCCCTCCCTCCCCACTGGGTTGGAGTTAACCTTAGTCAACACCGAATTCTGTAATATTCCACTCTCACCCTCTAAGCACTGACAGCAAATACCCACAGCAGATGCCATAAAGCACTTCGAACATAAATGAGCATCAAGGCTTAGCCAGTTACACTAATCTTTCTTCCCTGCCCCCAAATCTATTTTTTAAAAGTTCAGACTTCACTTGTTTACAACTATTTTCACATGAATTTATTTGTAAGAACTAATACATTACCCTAAAACATGTTTCTACATTATTAAGCACTGCTCTAAAAATTATTTCTATGTACATCTTCCACACAACAAAAATCAGGATTATCTGTTCAGTTCAGAGGTCTGGTGGTAGGTTTTTTGTTTTGTTTTTTTTTTTTTTATCCTCACCCGAGGACATTTTTCCATCTTTTGTACAGACAGAGTGGGAGGGAGAGAGAGGAAGAGAGAGAGAGGGAAACATCGATGTGAAAGGGACACATCGAGTGGCTGCCACCCGCACGACCAACCAGGGCCGGGGACAAACTGCAACCGAGGTACGTGCCCTTAGCGGGAACCGAACCCGGGTCTCTCCGGACCGCAGGCGGATGCTCCAACCGCTGAGCCAAACCGGCCAGGGCTGGTGGTAGGTTTTTTAAACACAATTAAAATCACTCCATTTGTGATTTTCATGGAGGATGTGGAGGGCTACCTAAAAGTCATCCAAACAAAGAGTCAAATACACCCTAAGATATTTCATTTTTTTTTTTTTTTATCCTCACCCGAGGACATTTTTCCATTTTTTGTACAGATAGAGTGGGAGGGAGAAAAAGGAAGAGAGAGAGAGAGAGAAACATCGACGTGAAAGAGACACATCGAGTGGCTGCCACCCACATGACCAACCAGGGCCGGGGACAAACTGCAACCGAGGTACATGCCCTTAGTGGGAACCGAACCCGGGTCTCTCCAGACCGCAGGCAAACGCTCTAACCGCTGAGCCAAACCGTCCAGGGCGATACTTCATTTTTTGGAAGAAACTTTTTGCATTCTTGAGTGCCTGAGCTATAAAACCTTAGTAATAATACTCTGGCCTAGAGCCCTCACTTTTAATAGTCACCTGAGATTCCACACTTGACCCAGAACAAAGCAACAACTTTTCTGAATCATCTCTGTGCTTTCGTATCCACAGTTCCCCTAGACTTTGAGACCTCGGGGACAGGGTTTCAAATTGGATATATGTCTCTTTTGCCAGATCATCTTCCCAGAAGGATTCTGACTGGCACAGCAGTTTGCAAACTTTGTACAACAGGAAAACAATCAATGGCAAGATGATAACACAGGCTGTACCGCTCACCACAATGAGGAAGGGCCCTTGAGAATAACCTTCTTCAGCTCTGTCAGTAGAAAAGGTGATACATTGGTCTTTCTGGGGAGACACCCCTTTCGGACCGACACATGCTATGTACTGCCTGCCAGGCTCCAAGCCATCTATGGTTACTTGGTTCTTGCCGGAGTCTGCATTCAGCAGTAGCAGGTCCTTTTCACCATGCTTGGAATACAACACGGTCACCTCAGAGTTATGTGTGGTGTTGACAGTGTTCCACATCAAGGTCACACTCTCTCTGGTCTCACTGACTGACCTGAGGTTTTTTATAGTGGTATACGTCTTCACAGGCATTGCTTGATCCAATGGTGCTAGCTCTTCTTTTTCACTTACAATAGCTGGGGGAAGCTTATTTCTACCCATCTCCACCTTTAAATTTCTTGTCCCATCTGGATGGAGCAGAAGTGACTGCTGGCTGGCCGTGGTGGCGCTTGTTGAGATTTTAGTGTTTAAAGTGGTGGTTGAAGTAACAATGGAGGAGGAGAAAGGAGAGAAGGAGAAGGTAGCAGCAGAGGGAGGAGATGAAGTAGAAGTAGAAAGAAACGTGGAAACAGAGGGGGAGAAAGAAGAGGAGGAAGAAAGCCAGGGAGACGGTGGTAAACCAGGCGAGGATGTCGATCTTCTGGATCCTGGCTGGACTTCTGGCTCAGGGTGATCTCCATTTCTTCCTTCTGAAGCGTCTGATGCTATGGTGGCCGTAGCAACACCAACCACTGTCACAGTGACCATGGCTTCTGACATCCCAGCCAGATTTTTGGCCTTACACTTGTAATCCCCAGCATCTTTGTAAGAAATGCCTGTCAAGCTTATTATGGACCATCTGACTCCTTCCCCTGGAGATTCCTGAATCACTGGAAGAAAAAAATAGATATAACTCCGTGAGGGGGAAGAAAGAAACACGCCGACGGAAAAAGAAGCAACTACTAGGTTCTGCATGTGTCCCTTTCCCATGAGCCAAGAGGGAAATGCCACACTACAAGTCCCTGACGGCAGATGATGATTCCATGAATCGCCTACGTGAAGGTCTAGGTCACGCCAGGTGCCGTGAGTCTATATGGAGAAGAATAGTTTTGTTTTTTGTTTTTATCCTCACCCGAGGACATTTTTGCATTTATCTTCAGATAGAGGGGGAGGGAGAGAGGAAGAGAGAGAGAGAAAGATCGATGTGTCTCTGTCACATCGACTGGTTGCCACCTACACGGCCCCGGTTGGGGCCGGGGACAAACTGCAGTGGAGGCACGTGCCCTTAGTGGGAACCAAACCCAGGTCTCTCCGTTCCGCGGGCCAGTGCTCTAACCGCTGAGCCAACAGCCAGGGCTGGAGAAGAGTAGTTTTATTTATTTATTTATTTTTATCCTCACCTGAGGACATTTTTCCACTTTTTGTTCAGATAGAGCGGGAGGGAGAGAGAGGAAGAGAGAGAGAGAGAAACATCGACGTGAAAGGACACATCGAGTGGCTGCCACCTGCACGACCAACCAGGGCCGGGGACAAACTGCAACCGAGGTACGTGCCCTTAGCGGGAACCGAACCTTGGTCTCTCTGTACCGCAGGCCGACGCTCTAACCGCTGAGCCAAACCGGCCAGGGCGAGAAGAGTAGTTTTAAAAGACACAGGGCTATGAATTGGGAGACTTGATTTTAGTAAACTTTTGTCCATTAAATAGCATGTAATTTTAGACAAGTCAAGAGTGTCTTTAAGCGTCTGTTCCTGTACTTTTAAAATTAGGAGATAAGGCGTGATCTCAATGATTCTTTCCAATTTTAATTCGGTGCAGTTCTATAAAATATTTATCATAAGACTTTAATTAAATATCTCCACAAATATTTCTTCATTGTGATAAAATGCTATCTATCTACAGAGGGCACAGCAGATCATGTTCTGGCATAGAGGGGTCATAATTTGTATTCTTAATCTTTCATTTTTTATTTAGCTTGTATAGTAAACCATGGATTCTTTTATTTGCAGAATAATATATAGTTTTTTTCTTTAATGGAATTTTACTTTTCTAAACACTAAAATCTAACGTATTTCCATTCTGTCTCGTTTTCTGAAGCTTTCTGAAAAATAATCATACACTAAACAGTATCCCAGTAGCCCCAATTTTAACTCAGTACCTCAAGGTATGTGCCATTTATGATCTGTTTGTAGGAATATCAGGCCTTGATTTTTAAAAAATCTCATCAGGTTTTATTATTTGAATCTCAATTTAATTTAATTTTCAAGAGTTTTAAGAAGAGATTGCTTTAATCATCAGACTATCACTACTGAAACAAAGGCCAAAGCACATAGTAGGATCTGAAAAGTTCCTACCAATAGTTTTAAAAAGTATACTTTTTGCTTCATAATAATGTTTGCATGCAATTATTTAAATAATCATTTAAAAATAAGAAACTGGTATGAAAATCCTTCTGAGGACATTGTAATGGTTATATAGTCTTAAGTGAGCCATGTCCAAGATGATGCAGCAAGCCAAAGGTCTTATCTGCAGTCACTCATGAACTGGGTCATGTTGTTTTCTAAGAAAAAAATCAGGTTCTTTAATTTCTTATATCTAGTTAGTCAGATAAACTGAGGAAAACATTAACCAATAAAATGAACCTTTTACCTAACAGTCTTGGCCTATTTTATTAGAATTAACCAGCCAACTGCAAATCTCCCCAAAACATGAGATTAAAAACAGATCTTTGAAAACTCTTTGTTTCAACATAAGCCTCAATTAAGAAAATACCTGTATAATTAACCGGTGAGCTGTCAGATCTTGTCCACGTGAGCTGTGGGGTGGGGTAGCCAGTAGCATCACACCGCAGCAGGACATTACTGCCCACAGCAGACGTGATCTGGGTGGCCGAGGTCATCACCGATGGCTTCAGACACCGCTCCAGCTCAGCCCGCTGAAATAAAATCCCTGTCAGGCGCTCGGGCTCACTACAGACCATCAGCGGATCAAGAAGTACTATGGCAGGGTCCGCAACTTTGGACATCTCGATCATTTTGGAAATGTGACAGTCACAGAACCAAGGGTTGTCCTGCAGACCTAAACCGGAGGGAGGAAAAGGCTGATAAAGGTCATTCTGATGGCTTCAGTTTACGTCACAGCCTCTTGGAGAAGCAGGTGTCTACACTGTCTCCCTAAAAACAGAAGTACTCTCAGGGATGAAATGGAGTCACCTCTCTGTCAGCTCTGCCCTGCCATCTGGCCACCTAAATGAAGAAATCCTGTCAGTTCGGATTGTTGATGATCATAGCTAACAGTCATTGAGTACTTACTTACTCTGTCCTTTGTTCTAAGCACTTACCTGTATTATCTCATTTAATTCCAATAACCCTATGAGTAGGAGAGTATTATTATCCCCCTTTTAAAGGTGAAGAAGCTAAGACACAGAGAAACCAAATAATTTAACCAAGGTCACATTGCTAATTCGTGTCAGCCAAGATTTGCAAACAAGTACCACAGAGTGCCATAATCACAGTGATAGAGCTATTTCTAGGGCTCCATGAAAGTACTTATATTATTAGAAGTATTATAGGGTGCCGAGAGGCACTACGTCATGACTGTGTGATCTGCAGACATCCTGAGGTAGCACAACTTCTGGGTAGCAAAAGCATTGAGTGAGATGCAGGTACTGTCAGGAGAAAAGACTGGAACGATTGGTAGAGGTTAGAACATGGTTTGACATGAATGTTATATGTGGTAGCCATGGAGGTGCATGTTCAAATCTCCCTCCAAGAGAGAATCAGAGCCAGGAGTGCCGTTAGCGGACAGCCTCCCGGGGCTGCAAGTGCCTTCAGGGTCTGCGTAGCTTTCAGTTACCGGCCACGATGTTTTGCCTTCCAAGAGGCTGTCAGCTTCGGCTTAAAGGAAAGTGAGGAAAATGCCACTGGAAACTAGAGGAAAGGGACCCTTGTTATGGAGTGGCAGAGAGTTTAGCAGCTCTGTCACCTGTGGTTAATGTGGAAAGTAGAAAACATACTCAATAAATAAATGTTCTAGCTAAGGATATTTCCACACAGATTGTAAACTGCTGCCTGGTGTCTTCTTGCTGCTCATAATAAAATGTAAAGGAAAGACATCAGCTAAAGGAACATATGAAATGTAAATATAAAATATGTTTATATATAAAAGATTTTTTTTTCAAATGTATTTTTATTGATTTTTAGAGAGAAACACTGATGACAGAGAAACACTGATGACAGAGAAACACTGATTGGCCGTCTCCTGCACACCGCCCTCCCCCACCCCAAGAAATCAAGCCCACAACCTGGGCATGTGTCCTGTCTGGGAATTAACCTCCTGATGCATGGGACAAAGCCCAACCAACTGAGCCACACAGGCCGGGCTGTTTTCTTTTCTAAAAAAGGAAATTTTTGTGTTTGTTTGTAGTCATAAATCACTAGCCAACAATAAGCTTTTCTGGTGTTGCTCAGCAATGCACTGTATTTTCCCCCATTTGTACCACTCACCCCTGGCAGTCACCAATCTGTTCTACCTATGAGGTTGTTTTGTTTTTTAGATTCCACATATAAGAAAAATCAAGAGGAATTTGTCTTTCTCTGACATTTCACGTAACATCATGCCCTCGAAGACCATTGGCATTGTTGCAAATGTCAAGGTTTCATGCCTTTTTATGACTGAATAATATTCCGTAGTATATATGTCCGCATATTCTTTATCTACTCGTCTGTCGATAGACACTTAGGTTGCTTCTGTACCTTCACTGTTGTAAATAATGCTGCAATAAACACAGGGACACACACATCTTTTCAAATTAGTGTTTGAATTTCTTCAAACACCCAGAAGTGAAACTGCTGGGTCGTACGCTGGTTCTATTTTCAGTTTTCTGAGGAACGTCCACACTGTTTTCCACAGCGGCTGCACCAATTTACGTTCCACCCACAGTGCACAAGGCTTCCCTCTCTCCACATCCTCGTCAACACTTGTTTCTTCTCGCCTTGTTCGTAACAGCCATTCTGACAGTGGGGGTGATATTTTGTGGTTCTGATGTGCGTTTCCCTGGAGTTTAGTGATGTTGAGTATCTTCTTCTTTAATTTTAACTACTACTGAATAAGCAACACTATATATAAAATTAAAATTACTGCCATTTTCATTCCTCAAGGATTAAAATTCTGTTACACACAAAAATATCCATTATTTTACTTGTTAATACAGGCATTAAAAAAAAAAAACCCATCCCTTTTGACCGATCCCTTAGAAAACTTTATCTTTCAACTGACATCCACTGCGAACATAAGAAATTCCGAGTTCAAATTGTATTCCAGGACCTGGAGACAAGGAATTGGACCTGATGAAACAATCGCCATCAAGCCAGCAGGGCGCGGTGCCAGACCTGAAGGGTTTGGACGGCTGCCGGTGTTCACGTCCCGTGTGCAGGGGTCAAGGCGCCCCGGGACCCTTGGGGTTTGCCTGAGCCGGTTCTCTGGCTTCCAGCGCAGCAGCTGCATCTTTGAGCGCAAGGTAGGTAACGTGCTCCGCCGTAAGCGTTATACATCTCGGGACCCAGATCTGGCCTAACCGAGCCGTGTGGCAGCCTCGAGGCCAAGTTCAGTTGGCCATCTCTCCGTGTGTACTCACTCAGGCAGCAGAATGCTGGCCGTCAGGTCTTCAAACCCCGCTCTGCATCGCTGGACGAAGAGTCGCGGTGGCGGCAGCGGCGGCCCGCACCATCCCGGACCCGGGGTCTGGAAATTCCTCCCAACCTGCGGGGCGGCAGGGACAGCGGACCCGCACAATTCCTTCCTGCCAGCCCGCGCTCCAGCAGACTGAAACTGTGAGCCGCTAAAAGATTTAATATAAATATAAAAGAACCGCAACCTGTTTGGTTCGATAATAAAACTGTTTCAGGATGGAGGTTCCTCAAAAAATTTGAAATGGAACTGCCTTGCCCAGCCGGTGTGCCTCAGTGGTTGAGCATCAACCCATGCACCAGGAGGTCACCAGTTTGATTCCTGATCAGGGCACATGCCCAGGTTGTGGGCCTGATCCACAGTGGGGAGCATGCAGGAGGTGGCCAATCAATATCCTCTCTCATCAATGTTTCTATCTCTCTCTCTAAAAGTCAATAAAGAAAGACAATTAAAAAAAAAAAGGAACTACCTTATGACCCAGCGATTCCACTTCTAGGTATATATCTGAAGAAACCCAAAACACTAATTCAAAAGAATATATGCACCCCTGAGTTAATTGCAGCATTATTTACAACAGCCAAGAGAAGGAAGCAATCCAAGTGCCCATCAACAGACCAGTGGATAAAAAAGCTGTGGTATATGTATACAATGGAATATTACTTGGCCACATAAAAGAATGAAACCTGATATTTGCGACATCATGGATGGATCTAGAGGGCATTATGCTGAGTGAAATAAGTCAGACAGGGAAAAACAAGTATCATAGATTTATTTCACTTGTATGTGGAATCTAAAGAGCAAATCAAACAAACAAACAAAACAGAAACAGACTCATAGATACAGAGATCAGACTGATGGTTGCCACAGGGGAAAGGGGTTTGGAAGCTGGATGAAAAAGTTGAAGGGACTAAGAAGCACAAATTACAGAATAGTCATGGGGATGTAAAGAACAGCATAAGGGCCCTGGCCGGTTTGGCTCAGCGGTTGGAGCATCCACCTGCGGTCCGGAGAGACCCGGGTTCGGTTCCCGCTAAGGGCACGTACCTCGGTTGCAGTTTGTCCCCGGCCCTGGTTGGTCGTGTGGGTGGCAGCCACTCGATGTGTCCCTTTCACATCGATGTTTCCCTCTCTCTCTCTTCCTCTCTCTCCCTCCCACTCTATCTGTACAAAAAATGGAAAAATGTCCTCGGGTGAGGATAAAAAAAAAAAAAGAACGGCATAAGGAATATATATAGTCAATAATACTGTAATAACTATGTACAGTGCCAGGTGGGTACTTGAAATATCAGGGGGATCACTTTGTAAAGTAGATGATTGTCTAACCACTATCCTGAAACTAATGCAAAGTAATATTGAATGTAAATTGTGGTTGAAAGTTTAAAAAAATAATAAAACGTTTTTATTCCAAGCCTCTCCAAAATTCTCAACTAAGAAAGAGCTTCAGAGACAAAATCGTATCCAGAATGGGTAGGACTATGAAAGCATTTGCTAAGTTCTTGGAAGGATCGCAGATGGAGCTTCAGAGCCTTCAGTCAGACAAAAGTCTCTTTAAGGACTTCGAGGTGAGGCCCACAGCAGCCTTCCATAAAGCCCAAGTTTGAAGGGATTCACCCCCGAAAGATTTGTGGTTGTAGCTTTTTACTAACGGATTATACAACAACTCCTAAGGAGAAAAGACAGAATTGCAATTTTAAAATATTCCAACCATGGTGGAAGGTTTAACTGTTCATCATAAATTCTAGATTTCTATCTGTGCCTATTTTTATTACAGTAGACTGGTCATTATTTTTCTGCCAGTGTTGGTAAAATTTTACCATTTTTAGAAATCTTAGAAATTCCTTTTCTTCCATGGTGAACTTTACCTTAGATTTCCTCTTACATTTAGTCCTGTGAATCTATGACCAGTTCCCGAACATTGACTTGAATTCTATTCAACCTGCCAACAAACATCAAATTCATTCTGTCATGTAATAATTAATATGTGTAGAATACTTTATACTTTCAAAACACTTGTTACTCCAGACTTGTTCTTTATAAAATAATAACAATACAGGTTGACAGTTATTGATTGCCGCCTATGTTACAAAGACTGTACTTAGCAAGAATTGTAAAAGGTCTGAGTTTTACCCTACTCTAGGGTGACCACCTCAACCCAGTTGGCCAATTTCATAGATGTTGGCAGAAGACCCAAGACTCCTGTTCAGAGATGAAGAGTAGTTTATTATTCACAGCTCTGGAGGAGACATTATCTTTATTACACTGGGCAGGAAGCATGCCTGCCCTGGGCTCTGGAGCAAGACATACCTCTACCTTAAGCGGCTCTCTACACAAACCTCCTTGAAAAGATAGTTCAGGACAAAAGGCTGTCAGTGTGCTTCTCTGCTCAGAAG